TTTCCTAATTATATATTTCTATGTAAAACATTGGTCGGCCATTTTGGCCCCGCTCTACCCCTGGGGGTCATGATTTGAACAAACTTGAATCTACACTACCTGAGCATGCTTCCACGTAAGTTTCATCTTTCCTGGCACAGTGGTTCTTGAGAAGAAGATTTTTAAAATATGCCACCAAATTTTCATTAATTCCCAATTATCTCCCCTTGAATGAGGGCGTGGCCCTTCATTTGAACAAACTTGAATCCTCTTCACCCAAAGATACTTTGTGGCAAGTTTGGTTGAAATTGGCCCAGCAGTTCTTGAGAAGAAGTCGAAAATGTGAAAAGTTTACAGACAGACGGACAGACGGACAGCTAGACAGACGGACAGACAGACGGACGCCGGACAAAATGTGATCAGAAAAGCTCACTTGAGCTTTCAGCTCAGGTGAGCTAAAAACGGTAGAAAGACCCCTCACACCCTACGCGTGCCTGCATTTTAAAAAAGAAATTCTGGCACTTCTTTAAGAAATCTTCCCAACTTGTATTCAAAATTCTTAGTTACAATTTTCTAGTTCATCCACCTTTTGGTGGTCTGCATCTTCAATGGATTTAACTACATTTCTAATTCCCTACATATAATACAGTACGCTGTATAATAATTTTCACGATTTTTGGCATTTCATATGATTATGTACATGTATATGAATAGGTACTATATCGTATAAGTATAAAATAATCATTCTTTTAACTCTTTATGATTAAAACACATGCCTTTTTTCCAAGCTGTGTACGGACTAAGAACTTACGCCTAGATTTAAGCCACCATTTAGTCTCGACTAAGTCTCCACCTTTTTGTGAAACGTTACTTAGTCCGATTGTCGGGTTTAGTCACTGATTTAGTCCGGACAAAGCTTACGACTGGTCGTAGGCCTTTTTGAAAAACGAGCCCCTGATGCCGAACGCTTGGCAAAGGAACAGTCGCTACCTATTTTTACGTCTTAGGTTTGACGCGGCACCGCGAACGAGAGTCGAACCGGGCCTCCCGATCACTAAGCGAACGCTCTACCACTAGGCTACCGTGAACGGTTTGTCTGCTGGAGCTACAACATATTTTAAAACTCTTTTATCACCTTCATTTGAGTGGAAGGATAGATAGTAAACAAAATATTTATTAATTTCCTTATTCGATTCTATAATCCGATGTATTTCATTTTAAAATCGATTTAAACTTAGATCTTTACCTTCATATAATTCACCTAGAATGTCTGGCATTATCTTTGACAAAATTCATGAAAGAAAAGGTCTTGTCGCCAAATAAAAAAAATTGAATTCCCAATACTAATTAAGGATCTTCTAAAATCATTGCTTTAATATTAGCGTAATATTCTCATTTTATACTGTATCAGCAAAAAAAGTAACATCTCCAGCGAAAGGACGAAGAGTAAGAACTCAGGGGAACTTTTTTTGTATACGTTTCATATCTATAGGAATTGTAGGCTTTGTTTATATTGAAAAGTTTAGATTGATTGTATATTGTTTAACGTCCCTCTCGAGAATTTCTCACTCAAATGCCTTATGGAGACGTCACCGTGTGTAGGTGAAGGGCTTCAAATTTTGACCTTTACTCGGCACTCAGGGCCATTGAGCAGTGAGGGATCTTTATCGTGCCAACGCCTGCCGCTGACACGGGGCCTTAGTTTTTTAAGGTCTCATCCGAAGGACCCGCAACTTTCACTTCAAAGTGCCGAGCGCATGGCGAAAGAACAGTTGCTACCCATTTTTTATCGACTTAGGTCAGTCGCCGCCAAGATTCGAGCTCACAACCTCCCGATCACGGAGCGAGCGCTCTACCAACTGAGCTACCGTGAACGGTGAAAAGTTAAGAAGCATCTGTGGAAAATGCAAGGTAGAATAAACTTTAAATATGGAGGAATGCTTTTTTTTATGTAATTTTTTACGACTCGGGTATTTTTGATGTTTACAGCTTTTATTCCTTTGTTGGTTAATTAACGTTTACGAAAATGACAGGTTGTAAATGTTTTACAGTTTGGATCATACCCCCGTTCCAAAAAATTCTCCCCCCCCCCCCCCCCCCCCCCGTTTACCCAGCAAATTTTATCTTGAATACACTTACTTATCACTTATAACATTGATAAGGTTTACTTTTAACTAAGAGATGTAATCAACTACGAACTGGAAAGCTCTTCATAACGAAAAGTACAATGTATGAATGCATTTGCTTTGTAAGATTTTATTCAATATCAAGGTTAAGCCTGTAAAAAAGAAGTACAACCAACAACATCTTTGTATGATTAGTCTGCTATGTTATACGCCTGTATCTGCAATTAAAGCTGATATTTACAGTAGAAGAACACAGAGAACATGTAGAACTAGGAAACAGACAAGTTAGCAAGGATTCAGGAGTTAGGAATGCATCGTATTGATGTAACCGTTTAAGAAATGAATTTGTGACAATTCTAGAAAAAATATTCTAAAGTACTCTTAGAATGCAAATGTAAAAAAAATGCTGTTATAAAACTTTCAAAGAGATATATATATATTCTCTTTATTATACATGTGACAATAATCAACTACATAATACGTAATTAGTAAATAAGAGACTAGTGTCTTGTTAATTTACAAAATAGAAAATATATAAATTCTGATTAGGAGGAGCCTCTGCATTTACAGCAGCAAGCATAATAATTTTAGGCGATATATTGATTAACAATCTCATATTTTTGGTCTGAATTAGGAATATTTTCATTGATGGCAAATTGATGTTATAATCCGGCTATCCAGTAAAAGTTTAAAGTGACGACACCTTGAATTTCGAAAGACATCAGTAAGAACCCATTATTTAAGGGTTTTTTTTTCAATTCAAGCAATTCAATTTGAAAGACATTTGAGAAAGATTTGAAGGACTGTATTTCTAAATTTATATCCTCCAGCAATTGAACAGTTATCGCCTATGCTATGCTTGACCTTAACTTCGGAACGAACACCACTTGCAACCAATAGTATTATATTTTTTTAAATTCAGATTCAAGGTAAGTTCTTTTTTTATTTCATAAGGCAAGTTATTTAATCACATGGGAACTATTGCAACTTTTAAATTACAAAAGAAGATTGAATGGGCAAAACTAGATAACAAACCAGCATGAAAAATGCTCCCAACTTTAGGAATCCAACCCACCAATCCAGCTTCCTACCGTATAAGACTCAGAATCAGAATTGGTTACTTAAATATGCCTTGCTGCCTAATAAACCATCATTTCAAAGCTGATGTTTGAAAGTTGCAAATTATGGACAGAGAAATGAAAGACGTACAGGTAGACACACAGACCGATTACTATAGGACATCCGCAATTCTTTATGGGTTATATGGGACCTTAATTACCTTTTAAACACCGGTATGAACGACACTTGTAACTGTTTACAACGATTTTCCTCTGCAAAAACACTATGACATGTTAACAATACACAAAAAGGTAACTTTCATCTAGATATACATGTTTTCTAAAGGTATCACTAGCCAAGTAAGAATTTGGGCGTCAAGATTAATGCGCTCAGGACAACAAATACCCTTGGATCTCAGTACATTTCATGATCTGCACACAAAAAGGCGTTCGATTTGCTTTACATTTTTCATAATGTTGAAAGTATATTCATCTTCCTCATGTTCATTCCCGACACAACAGAACTGTAAAGTATCAGAATTCGGGAAATTATAATAATTCCACATCAACAGGACAAATATGAACAATTTATAAATAAATTAAATTATACGGAAACACATTTCACATCCAAGATATGATGCCATGTATAGACAAGGGATTGCCTATCGTATCTAATTATGCGTCATTAATTACTTTCACATTCATCTTGTGCATAAAATCAAATTTATTTATGAATGTATAAATAATGTAATGATAAAAATGTCTAATATTTCGGCTAAAAAAACCCTCTTTCTCTTTTTTTGAAAACCTTCTTTTATCATTCATACATATTTGCAGAATTAGCAAAGACAGTGATAGTTTCAGGAATACAGCTTATGATAGAACGTAACTGTTGATCGTTTAATTTCGCTAAGTCATCAATATTTTACCATTTCTTGGCGACTTCAAAGGGGAGGGGGGGGGTGGGTGGGGGGTAAAGGCTTCTTGACCACCTCTGACAAAACAACCTCGACTGTGTTCTACATGTGTCCAAGAGACCTCTCTTTGAATGTCACGGTCGGTTAAATTCAGTTATACATTTTTAGTTGTAGGGAAGATTTATTCATCAAATAAAAATCATATAAGTAAACAAAAAGCAACCTGTTATTTTCTAACACAATATGAGACTACAAGTAACTAATGTTCATGTTTATTTTTATACCCCCCCCCCTCCCCCGCTTGAAAAGCGGGAGGGTATATAGTAATCGCTAATTCCGTCCGTCTGTACGTCCGTCCGTCCTTCCGTCTGTTATGCTTTGGGGTACCAATCTCTTATCCGCAACTCCTCTCATACCACTGAATGAAATTTGATAAAACTTTCACAGAATCTTTATTACATATTGCCATTGTGCACCTCCTATTTTACTTTTTGATCCAACACATATTTGGGTTTCCCAGCCTCAGCAAAACATGGACTTTGCAATTATAACTATATGGAGGCGGGGGGGGGGGTATCATTTAGTGAGCTCATCGCTCACAGTACCTCTAGTTTTAACACATTTTTTCATTATAGATGAGTATTAGGAAAAGTTATTGCCATGAGTAATAAGTATCATAGATAAAATAACTAAAAGAAACTAGAGGTACTGTGACAATGAGCTCACTAAATGATACCCCCGCTTCCAATATGAATATAATGGGAGTGTCCATGTTCTGGTGTGGGAAACCCAAAATATGTGTCAGAAAATAAAACAATTTTAAAATTATACATTCAGTTTGAAAATTATACAATAATAATTATGATCATTCACTAATTTAAAATATGCCAAATTTAACATAAAATTGACACATTTTAAGTAAAAATTTACATCATATACCCCCACGTTTGATGTTCCTTTCTGAATACTGATATTTTAAAAAACTTTAACCTATCTGTTTAAATTCTGCAAAAGTTTAAGACTTTAAAATAATTTTCTTGCTTTTTAAATTTTCAATGCAAGAAAATCCACAATTTGTGAGTGCAGAAAGGTCAAATACAGTAATTAATTATGCGAAGTAATTTGAAACTTTTGCTGCCCAGTTTTTTTATTGACTTAGGTCATCTGCGGCAGAGACCTTCCAATCACGGAGCGAGCGAATGTCTTGAAATACGGGATAATTGCAGTAAGTTTATGAGTTGAAAAATTTCATAACTGTTGTAGATTTTATGAAAAGATTGAAACGTGTACTTTAAAAATTAGACACCTTGTTTCCATTCTGCACTTAAACCTTATAATCCAAATTTCACGAGATTCGAATAAATCTGACATTTCAGGGAGCTAACTATAGATAATGCAGTCTAATATTATGAATCCGGGTACTGGTATATTTGGTTTGTTAAAATGAATGTAATGATTTCAAATATCTTTTTAATCCTTCACTCACATTCTTTTTTATATTGCATTCTTTTTATGAATTTGCGTATGCGCCCTAAAGCATGGAATTTCTGCACGCTTTCCCTCAGCTTAGATTCAATCAGCTATAATTGGGATGGTAGGCGAACGGCTTCAGTTTTAAATAAACAAGTAGACGGCGACGCGTGACCTTTCCTTACTAAGCACATGTCCTGAGAAAATTGAAGCTGAAAATCTAGAAAATTTGTTTAGGGTCACTGGTATTTTCTACTCACTTGGGACTCAAATGGGTAAGTGAAAGTCTGACAAAGTCTGACAAGGTCAACATCTAGAGGAAAGAAACATGCTAATGACATAATTTTTAACAGACATTTACGATCTTGACCTATATCAAATCTAGAAAATAATGATTAATCACTACTCACACTCCGTGAGTGAAGTATGAGTCCAACTTGTCAAACTGGAGAGAAAGCATAAACAGAACATGGACTTTAAAGTCTGAGCCTGACTTGGCCAGCGGGGAAAATACATACCAGACAAGAATTTTACACAGATTTTATCAACCTTGACCTTTGATTAAGGTACGAAAATTGGTTAAATGTTACTTCACCCCGTCGACCCAAAGACACTCTATATATGGATACTGTTTGGTTGGAATTAGAGCACTGTGATGCCAACAAGGAGATAATATGCTACAGGAAAAGGAAATTTGACAGACGAAAGGAAGGACAAATTAAATTGATAAATAAGAGCACCTACACACAATCCCATGGCATGTATACATGTATGTGCACCTCGTTTCATTTTAAATCTACCGTGCTTAATTTATTCCATCCTGATCTTAGCTTAGCCTTACTCAAAGTCAACGTTTTATCATCGGAGTCTCCATGTAGAAATTTTATTTTTCTCTTGGGTCATTAGATAAATAACGCTCAAATTTCTCTTTGAAAAAGGCATGATCTTTCAGAGGGTGCTTCATATTGTCCCAGTCTGCCTTGAAGGCATCTGCAAATCTTTTAACTAAACGTTTGCCAATGTTTCTAACTTGAGTCTTGTTTGCCTGTGGATAAGCAAAACTGTAGGTAAATTCCGTATTGATATTGCTATATTCATTAGGTCGTATCAGTTGTAGTAAGATTTCTATTTCGCAATGCTGAACAACTGGTAAGAAAACTTCCTCTACAGAAGCGGCTGCTTTGAATAAAGCTATTGTCAAGACCTCATGACTAAGTTTTTCAACACCATTTTCAACTCGGACGAATCCAGACATTTTTGCCACATTTTGAAAAGCATCTTTGGTTAAAAATGCGTCAACTGTACCTGCCCAGGAAGTTAACTCATCCCCATGTTTGTGCTTTATAACACACATCAAGTAAACAAGACTGGGATAGTCAACTGAACCGTCTCGCATTTTCTGAAAACGTTGTGTTAATGACTGTATAGGGTTTTTGGTGAAAGCTGCATCAGAAAATAAATCATGATGATGGCAGTACATCAAACTGAGAAACGGGTTTCCTATATGCCCCTGATTTTCTCTGAGTTTATCAATCACAAGTGTGAGGTCAACATCCTTAAACCAGCAATTGGAATCTGTTTTACAGTGACCCTCTTTTTGTTGTTCTTTCAAAATTAGCAGCATTTCTGATTTTGTTAGCTTGTCTAAATCAACAGTCAGGTTTTTATTTTGAAGGAGTTTTAGATTATGATTTCTCTTGACTTCATCAAATACATGTTGGTGTATTCCAAAAGCAACTTTAAAACCCCTTGATTTTTCCCGCATACTCTCAAGTAAATTTTCAATACTTGATATTCCACTTAAGGAAAAGGTATTACAACCATAACTTCCAAAAAGATTGTCACAAATCACCATTGTTTCACTTTGCATATTTTCTTCTAGAGGAAGAAATTTTTCCTCCATCCATCTTACTTTCCATCCTTTCTCTTCATATTTGTTCTGGATTGCTTTTAAAGCATGAGTTTTACCACATCCTATGGCTCCTTTACAAATTACGATATTTCCCGCTTCAAGAGAGTCAAGAGCTAACTTTAACCCTCCAGTTATCACAATGCCTTTCTCAACAGTGCAGTCTGGATTCAGCTTAATACCTAGGTACAATATAAAATGCTACAAATAAACCACAGCATTTCCTCATCACCATAAGCAAGTTTAAATGTCAAAGCGTCAAAATTTTGTGATGCAATATTTTGCATAGGCGCTCCCCATGTAATTCTGTAAATGACGTATGATAAGTATATATAGGTCTACCCCTCTATACTATAAAATATCCAAGGCCTGAACTGGGCGCCATTGTGGATTTCGCCTGGGACCTCTGACTGACTTACTTTAAGGGTTTCTGGGGTATACTGGGCTGGTTATCAGCATCGGGTACTGTAATTTATTGAAATAAAATATTTGCAAACTTTTATCCAGCACCATTCCGTTGCTTTCTCTTGTTTTCAAACATTTCTCTATTACACCGTCACACTTAGCTGATCTCGGCCGGAAGAAGTCGATTTCGTCGATTTTCAACAACTCGTACGAAAATAACTTTCGGAAGTTTGACAATATTTAGTGGGGAAAGTACATATTGGTTTCAGGATGGTGTATGTTGTGTATTATGTGTTTTTTGGTTTGTCTGAATACCCTCATTAAATAAAAATGAAAACTCGCTGAAATTAGCACGTTTTAAAAATGTCATATGTGCTAATTTCAGCGAGTTTTCATTTTTATTTAATGAGGGTATTCAGACAAACCAAAAAACACATAATACACAACATACACCATCCTGAAACCAAGCGCCTATGTACTTTCCCCACTAAATATTGTCAAACTTCCGAAAGTTATTTTCGTACGAGTTGTTGAAAATCGACGAAATCGACTTCTTCCGGCCGAGATCAGCTAAGTGTGACGGTGTAATAGAGAAATGTTTGAAAACAAGAGAAAGCAACGGAATGGTGCTGGATAAAAGTTTGCAAATATTTTATTTCAATAAATTACAGTACCCGATGCTGATAACCAGCCCAGTATACCCCAGAAACCCTTAAAGTAAGTCAGTCAGAGGTCCCAGGCGAAATCCACAATGGCGCCCAGTTGCAGGCCTTGGATATTTTATAGTATAGAGGGGTAGACCTATATATACTTATCATACGTCATTTACAGAATTACATGGGGAGCGCCTATGATATTTTGAGCTAAAATAAATTGTCTTCATTTTGTACTCACTCTGTATTTTTTCTTTTAAATCTGTAAAACCTTCCATCTCATCTTGTGCTTTATTTTGTAATTCTGGATCATTCTGAACAGCTAAAGTTCCGTATTTATTCTTCATTCTATTAAAGACATCGTCTAAATTCTGAAAGTCATAATTATTATCACAGTATTTATTCCACATAGATCGGATCCTCTCAATGTCAGCTCCAACTGTCTCTTCATCTTCTGGAGGTTCATAGTCCCACCCTCTCGTTGGTGGTTTGATATTTACACAGAAGTTTCTAAGCAAAGCAAATACCAAGGACATGTCCAGCCTATTGCAATCATCAGACTTCTCAACACTGTAAAGATCCTGTAGAACCGGTTCTGTGAAATGTTCTCCAAGGGATTTAGAGTGAATGATTGATTTTTCCTTTAAATCCTTAGCCTTTATCTCTCTGCTTAAGATGTGAACCAAGTACCTCTGCAGAATGTTTAGCTTTCTTATTTTCAATTTCATTTCCTCTGTAAAATATTGAATCAATGATTTTTAAGAAGCATTTCAATTTTGTTTAAAATTATTTTGATTTTAACACCGAAACACAATTTAAGATACATTGTACTTAAGTATGCATGCACATGTAAATGTTATCAACTGTACAAGATACAAGTATATGAAAGGAAATAATCTTTTAAATTTTTAATTACTTGGATATAACACAATGACAAATTTATATCAAAGGTCTAACTTTCCAAAACACATTTATATGTACATACTAGTATTCCATTACCTCTATTACTAATTAATGTAGCTTGATTGCTCTCATAGTGTGACTTAACAAGAGGCCCAAGGGCCTTGAATCGCTCTTCTGATAAATTATACAATCTATCCTAAGACCCAAGATGCATCAACTGACAAAGTTTGATGATTCTTAGCCAGTTAGGGCTGAAGATATTTAAATGTAACTATAAAATACTATAAGTAGGTCATGGTGACCTACTTTTTGATTAAAATTTTCTGAGGACACAAGATGCATTAATTGACAAAGATTGATGATTCTAAGCCAATAAGTACTTGAGATATTCAAATGTGGGTCACAGTGACCTACTTATTGGTCAACATTCTCCAAAAAACCCAAGGTGCATAAACTGACAAAGTTTGATAATTCTAAGCCAATATTAGTACCCTAGAATACTTAAATATAGCCATAAATGTCACAAGTACGTCACCTTGACCTATATTTTGATCATCATTCTCCAAGAACCCAAGATGCATCAAATAACAAAGTTTGATGATTTTTAACCATTAAGAACTCAAATACCTAAATATAGCCATAAAATGACAAAAGTAGGTCACTATGACTTACTTTTTGACCTACTTTTTAGTTGACATTCTCTGAAAACCCAAGATGCATCTACTGACAAAGTTTGATGATTCTAAGTCAATCAGTACCTGAGATATTCAAAAGTGGGTCACCGTGACCTACTTTTTGATCAACATGCTCCGAAAACCTAAGATGCATCAAATGACAAAGTTTGATGATTCTAAGCCAATAAGTACCTGAGATACTAAAATATAGCCATAAAATGTCAAAAGTAGGTCACCATGACCTACTTTTTGGTCGTTAATCTCTGAAAACCCAAGATGCATCAACTGACAAATTTTAATGATTCTAAGCCAATTAGTACCAGAGATACTTAAATCTAGCCATAAAATGTCGAAAGTTGATTACAGTGACCTACTTTCTGGTCGACATTTTCTGAAGACCAATGATGCATCAACTGACAAAATTTGATGATCATAGGTCTAATAGTATTCAAAATATGCCTTTTAAACAATTTGAAAACAAATGCCTGCAAAGTTCAAAAAGTAGGTCACAGTGACCTACTTTTTGATAAATATGTTTTAAGGCCTCTAGATGCATCAGCTTACAAGATTTGGTGATTCTAAACTTCTCAGTGTCTGAAATAATGGGATTAAATGTTTTAGAATAGATTAGCCATAAAATTCAAAAAGTAGGTCACAATGACCTACTTTTAAGTTGTTGTTTGTGGACCCAAGATGCACCAACTGACAAAGTTTTATGATCATAGGCCTTAAAGTGTCCAAAATATGCCTCCATATCAATATGAAAACAAAAGCCCGTAAAATTTAAAAAGTAGGTCACTGTGACCTACTTTTGTGTTAACATGATGTGAAGTCCTTAGATGCATCAACTTACAAGATTTGATGATCCTAGTCTTTGTAGTAAGCAAAATATCAACGTTTTTATTAAAAGTAAATTTTGGTCAACTTTGAAGTGACCTTGAGACCACGCCCTTTGCCCCAGGGTCATGCCTTGAAAAATTTTTAATCTTCAACATATCCTGAACCTTGTATGTAAGTTTGGTGAAAATCTGCCCGATGGTCCTTGAGAAGAAGATTTTTTAGCAACCAGTACTTTTGGTTTTATTTTCCTCATTATCTCCCCTTGTTTTAAGATCCCACCCCTAGTTTTAGTATAAATGGTAGCCCTTGGGCCAAGGATACCCTGTGACAAATTTGACAATAATTGGCCAAGGGTTCTTGAGTTATGGCCAATATTCTAAAAAGTTAACGCACACCGCACGACGCACACCGCACAAATGGCCATAGCATTAGCTCTTTGAGCCTTTGGCTCAGAAGAGCTTAAAATAAACGTTTATGCCTTATATCTAGTCTGTAAACTACTGATGGACACAATGACTTTGGAATGGTCATTATTCCAGTGGAACTTAGAGTACCTGCCCCAGGTAAAAAAAATGGCTTCATAGGAATAATTTTTGAAACTCTATTCTCTTTCAAACATGGGAGGAAAAGCTGATATTTGTTTGAGACACAATGTCAGTGCAAAAAAGTCAAATAAAACATATAGTAGTGCCTAAAAGCATATAAACCCCAATTTTTTCTTTTGATTTTAAATTGTGTGATACTTTTTTAAAATTGAAGAAATAAAGTCCTTTACTGAGGCTTCTAAATTGTAGTCTAATAATGTAAGGTTATTGTGAAATGATTTTTAAGTTAAGTACAATGGAAAAAACGTCATTAATTAAAATAGACAAAAAAGTCGGAAGTCAATAAATCTAATATTTAACGTAGAACCTACGTCGTATGACATCACGTGTTTAGTCTGTGTTAGAACCATTATGATGTCATAATCATTTTAATGTTACTTTTTCCTGTACTTCACAGCTTCAATAGAAATTAGTAAAGCAAATTTCAAATTCATGGAATTCATTTTAAAAATCATGCTAAAATACTCTTAATACCTTTAATCAATTTATATATTTTTAATTATAAAGCTATATGACTTAACACATTTCTAAAATTAGAGAAACCTGTAGGCACCTATCATTTACTACATTCTTGATCTATTTTAAGTGAACAAATCTTATGTAATGAAATTACACTGTCGTAACTTGTGAATGATATGCTACTATTTTGAGGGAATGCAAAAATCCTGAAAATTAAATCTTAAGTTGCCAACTAAAGAGTATCACTAACATCTTGGTAAATGTGTATTGAGTCAAAGATGAGTTGGATATTGTGTATAATTGTTTGATGTCTTTCATGAAATGCATGCCTTTTCATAGTTATTTGTTCATTATGTATTTATTATTTTCAATTAATATGGTTGGTGTTTGTTTACAAATTTTCTATCAAATATGATCTGTTTAAAAAGAAAAAGACAATTTTTAATAAAAAATAACTATGTAAATCTTAAAGTAACCCCAAAAAGTCATTTATTAATTAAATCCTGTTTAAGTGCAAAAAGGTCAAAAAATGTAACATCGGTAAATAATCTACTTCTCGTTAGTTTGAGGGGAAAGGTAAATACTTTATTCACTTTTTGTAATCATTTGGGTATGTTCTTCATCATATGAAAGATTGAAAACATTCTGACAAAGACTTCTGAAAAATATTGACAAATTTAGGGTGGAAAATTGACTAAAAATAATAGAGTTCATTTGCCTATTTTTTCTTAAATGTGGACTTATCTTTTATGTCAAGGAATAAAACAAAATTTATTATTGAGAAATACTGTTTACTACTGTTACGTTGATAAAGTCGACGACCGACGATGTTTAATAAAGTATTTTTGAGATTTTTCATATTCTATTTATGACAAGTACCCCTTAAAATGACTGAAAATAAATTGTCGCAGTATGTAATTACCATTTCATGTTTCACAAGCTGCACTACATGTAATAACAAGGAAACATGTGATGTGCTTTTGACTGATTGATAAGCAATTGCTAATTTATCATTTTGAAAAGTTTGAAAATCTTGTGACAAAGACTTTTCCGAAATAGGTTCTACATTAAAAGCAAACCCTGTTTAAGATTTTTAAAAAGGTTTTAAGCATTGCTGCCTTTGAAAACTTCTTAAGCAAAAGCTTTGAGTACATGTAAAGGGCCATGTTTGTGGTAAAGCATGGATAAATGTAATAACTGTAAATTGTGCTAAATTATGACCAATGATTTATCATTAGAATTAAAAACAAGAGGCCCAAGGGCCTTGAATCGCTCTTCTGATAAATTGTACAACCTATCACTTCTATTTGAAGCCTCTAACCCTAAGTATTCTAAGAGCCAAGTTGCATCAACTGACAAATTTTTCCTGTTCATTTGTTAAATTATTTTTTTCTATTCCTTTGTTTTACTCTCTCTCTCTCTCTCTCTCTCTCTCTCTCTCTCTCTCTCTCTCTTTCTCTGAATTAATTCTAAATATGTACCAATTGATAATCTACTCTTCATACATTTTTTTCAATGTTTACATGTACTTGCTGTTCAATCCATTTCTGTGAATAAAATGTATATTAAACTATCAAAGTTTGATGATTCTTAGCCAATTATAACTGAAGATATTTTAATAAAGCTATAAAAAAAAAAAACATAAGTAGGCCACAATGACCTACTTAAAGATTGAAGTTTTCTGAGGACTCAAGATGCATTAATAGAAAAAGATTGAAGATTCTTAGCCAATAAGTATGTGAGATATTCAAAAGTAAGTCACCTTGACCTACATTCTTGGAAAAACCAAAATGTATCAACTGACAAAGTTTGATTATTCCAAACCAATAAGTACTGGAGATACTTAATTATAGCCATAAAATGTTAAAAGTAGGTCACTGTGACCTAATTTTTAGTAGGCGATTTTCGAAAGCCCAAAATACATCAACTGACAAAGTTTGATGATTCTCAGCTAATAAGTACCTGAGATATTCAAAAGTAGGTGACCATGACCTACTTTTTGGTTGACATTCTCTGAAAACCCAAGATGCATCAACTGACAAAGTTTGATGATTCTAAGCCAATAAGTACCAGAGATCCTTAAATAAAGCCATAAAATGTCAAAAGTAGGTCACCATGACCTACTTTTTGGTCATCACTCTCCGAAAACCCAAGATGCATCAACCCACAAAGTTTGATGATTCTAAGCTTATTAATACCTAAGATACTTAAATAAAGCTATAAAATGTCAAAAGTAGGTCACCGTGACCTAC